TAGAAACAAAACGTATGGATAAATTACAAGGGTTCTCTTTCTAAAGTGGCTAAAAACATGTATTTATAGGTCTAAAATCGTGAATCTCTGGCAAAACCAAGTCAAATTAGGAAACACTGAAAATTTCCTTTATTTTCGTCGGTTTAGCCAGAATGACAGGTCTTCACGAGAATTGGTGTAACTTTCTGACCGTTGATCCAAATGACTTCAATCTTCTTTTGGATGCAAGCTGACTCAATTTTCTATCCCGTGTCCAAATTTCAGATCAATCCAATGAGTTTAAGGCCTCTAATGATTGCTTGACATATGACGCTTCAGAACTGTCCAATATCTCTTTTCTCATCCTTTTTGCTCAATTAACCCGTAAAAGAATCTAAACACTACAAACACACTAAAACTACCACTTAAGACATAAAACCGCATAAAAACCATTAGATAGAATAGTAAACACCATATAAAAAACCATAAAAACCAGAATATATCAAGCCTATATGTCGGTTCGGTCACCAGATACAACATTTGAATGGACTTGCAGAAGAAACAGGGAACATAGTAATGGCAGATACAACACAAACTATTTTTTTATATTGAAACATTTCGATTCATAATAATGTGAACAAAAGTTGTTGAATACTTAAAATTCTTAAAGTTGAAACACTCTCTTTCAAAGTGCAATACTTCAATGAACAAGTTTCAACAATATCCACCTTTTGTATTTTTTAAGACAACAAGACAAAACAAAACAAGAGAGATTATGTGTGAATCAACATAACATTTGAATCTTCTTTATGATCTAGCAAAATCTCATTCTCGGATTTGTTTATTTCTCACAAAATCCAAACTCATCTGAGAGTTATTAAGAAAACAGAGGAAAAACAAAAAAAACCATAAATTGAAATCACCAGTCTTGAGGAACCAGTTTTCGAGCCTCTCTCAACCAAGTTGTAGAAAGCTCTTGTTTTCCTCTGTTCGTTCCAATGGTGATCTTCCAAGACCACCAGCAGCTAAACCGAGTGCCAAACCGATAATCAAAACCCTGATTTTTTTGTTTTCCCCAAATGCAAAACGGCGTCGTTTTACGTCAAATCGGTCAAAAACCAATTGATTTTGGTCAACACAAAACCGAACCGAACCCCGTTAGCCACTTGTAATCCACGTCACAACCTGTAAATTCACCAAATTTTAATAGATTATGGGGAAAATTCAAAATTATATAAAGTTCATGTGAGTTTTGGTCTACCTTAATAGATCACGGATAAAGAGCTCGGAAGTTCACGGGGAATTGGCTTTTTCCCCTTCCCCATTACTCAGTCCGTTGTTTATTTCAACATGAAGTTAAATTTTAGGATACGGAATGCTTCCAAATATAGTGACATCAGGTAGAAATAATAAAGTAATTTCAAATCGATAACCATGTAGAAGATAATGAAATTATTTCGAATTTTCTCGTTGAACAATTTCAAAAGTTTGAATTAGTTTAAAAAAACTAAAAGTGTTGAAAAATGTCAACCTTTTAATACCTCAATAAGTAATAATACTCTACCAACATATATATAACGAAACCATATTAACAATTACCTGACCTCGTATGATAATATATGTATATCTTAATTGTTCTTGTAAACTGATAAAGAACAGTTTTATTCTTTCTTTTTTCAACTTAACAGTTTTATTCTTAATTTGACTTTAACTTTATAATAGAGTAATAGGCCATCATATATTATGATCACTTCAGTATTTTTTTTAATAGATTAGTAACAATTTTTTGTCAAAGTCATTTATGATTAATAAACAGTTACAAAGATGGAATCACTAAAGATTTAATGTACCATGTTTTGAAAATGTGTAAATTTTGAGATTCAGAGTTCGGGGTCGTGATATATTATAGTAGTAGGTATCAAACTCCAATCTCTTACTTTTATTGATCAATCCTTACAAACATCAGAATCAATATAACTTTTATTTTGGATACATATTAACATTCTTAAGAACATAACACACCACACAGATTTAGCACACAAATCAATATTTATAATCCAATAAAATTATCAAACTTGACACATCCACAAATGCTAACACACCAACAAAGCTGATATTGTAATAGCAGTTGTCCCAAATAGTTCGTTTCCTGCCATAAATTATGTTAATATAATTAGAGCCAATCGTAACAATAATATGTTCTAGCTTATAATTAGATTGCATAACAAATATATAAAATGATCACCTTAATAGAAAACGACTACTACGTTAGAGGTGGAGGTGGTGATGGTAAAACAGATGTTTTATACCACAACAGACATTTCGGAGTAAAGATCTGAGCTACACTTGGTAAACCGGAACAAGCTGTTGAAAAGAACCTCAAGAAGGAAGTTTTGAGGCAAACGGTACAGTTGGATAGATCAAGATCAGGACTACACTGAATCATTGACTCTAACTCATAAGAACCTTCTGGTTGAATCACACGTTCTTGATCCTGTACGAAATATGGAATCGAAGAGGACGAAGAGACGTTGAGAATCAGTTGGTCGAATTTATCAGTAAGAGTTTTATTGAACCGATTCAAGTTTGGAGCAGGCTGATTAAGAGGGTGAAGATTGACGCTTGGTCTGGTTTCCATGAGTGTGAAGAAGGAAACATTCGAGTATCGAACCATACACTTTTGATAGTATATAACCGCTGCTTTGTTATGACTACAGTTTCTAGCGATCTCCATTGTTGCGGTTAGGACACAGTCAAAGCAAGATGTTGCGTTTATGTCTCCTCTACATAGATACATGCCATAGACTGTGTCGGGGCTAGGACCGATTGTGGCGTTGGAATAGGTTCCGAGACGGGAAAATTTTTGGAGAGTTGAGAGTAAGCTTTGGCGGTGTATTGCGTACGGACTGGGTTGAGTGAAGTTGCTGGAAGGATCACAGAAGGTATATATGTGTTGAGGTTGAGACATGGTTTGGTGAGATAACAAAGAGTAGAATAAGAAGTAAAACAGAGGAGCAGTGAATGAAATTATGATTCTTGCCATTTTTGTGTGATGTGTTTGTGTTCTTTGTTGTGCGACAAAACAGAGAGGAGATGGAGAATTTATAGTAGAAAGCAAAGAGTTTTTTTGTTGATTGATAATGATTTGTATCAATTCAGAGGAAGAGTAAATTCCAATGATATCCAAATGATGATTTGTACCAATTCAGAGGAAGAATATTGTTTTCATCCATGGTAGCTATATCTTTTGACAAAGAAAAAGTCATAAAGTTGACGCATTTTGTTTTATGACTCTCAAGCAAAACTGAGACTTGGTCCTATAATATAAAAGACAGATCTGGCTTGAAGTGCAAGCTGGTAAGAAATTCATTTTTTTTTGTAAAAATTCAAATCATTTTTTTGTCACATATGTATTGGAGGATTTGTAAACACCATGTTGATTAATTTAAAATATAAATGTTGAAAAAATTCAAAGAAAGAAAATATAAAAACCATACGAATCATCATCAGATGATTTCATACTAAGCCAAAATCATAATGTTTTGCTCAAGTCTATGAAGCAAAACAGAGACTTAAACACTAAATGGTAACATACAAAAATAATTTCAAAAGATTTTGCTATACTGGACAATTATGCTAACACCACTTGCTATCTAAAAGAGTTCCGCCATATTTAGCTAAATTAAGCAATTTTGCAC